AAGTACAGACAACTTGTGGTTAAAAAAAATTATTGAAGCAAAAAAAGCTAACAAAGTGCACAGTTTCTGGACATATGACGGTAGAATTTATATTAAAACCGAAAAAGAAGGCGACAGAATTCAAATAACATCATTGGATGATTTGTATGAACTTATCGAATAAATGCATCAAATATGTGCCTTTAAATAGTAGATCTGTGTCACACGGAGAAAGTGAGTTCTACATTTAAAACGTTAAAGACATGTTTTAAACATTATAATATATATTTTCCACACTCTCCAGTTTTGTTCTCAGAACAATGCTGTTTTACAAGCTTTGTTTATTTACAATCATTGTCAGTCTTGTTTATATGTTTCCTTTGACTGACTTGCAAGTACTCGTTCTTGTAACAAGCTTTAGTTCATTATTTTCTGTTTACTGTTTGTTTTTTATTATGATTACATCTGCAATGGGTTTCAGTTTTTCTAGACAATTTCAAGATCTTTGCAATATTCAACTTTGCTGTTCTTTGCGGCTTTATTTTCCTATTTTTTACCAACCCAAAACATTAGTTATTACCGACCATGGGTAATACTCTTGTACAATATCGAGCCGCAATTGGAATTTTTTACCTTCGAAATAGATGCACATTCAAATCCATGAATTACTGTTTTTTCAGATTGGTATATTTAGTTTGGCTTTTGTGGAAAGCTTACCTATTTTGTAAACAAAAATTCAAAGTTTGTAAGAAACATGCAGTATATTTTCAGCATGTCAATTTTCTTTTTCAACTTATGAGTATATTATTAATGCTGTCTGGTGATATTGAATCAAATCCTGGGCCTACAGATAAATCTTTCCATACTTTAGATATTTTTCATATAAACATAAGAAGTATAAGAAACAAAATTGAAAAATTAATATCATTTGTCAGTGATTATCACATTTTGTGTTTTACTGAAACACATTTAGACGCAAATATTGATGATAATGCTATTTCGATTGAGGGTTTTTCTACAACTTTTCGCAAAGATCGTAACTCATATGGAGGCGGTACCCTGATTTATGTATCCGATTCACTTCGAGCCATAAGACGCACTGACCTTGAACCTTTGAATACGGAATGTATATGGATAGAAGTTAGTGACCCTATAAGTAATATTTACCTTTGCTGTCTATATCGGCCTCCGAATTCTGATAAATCCTTTTGGAAAAACGTAATGTGGTCCATTGAAAAAGTTTCTGATATATCCAATAAGATAATTATCCTTGGAGACTTAAATGTAGATTTTTTAGATATTCCACGCACTCACATTGTTAACGAAATTTTGTCTCAGTATAGCCTTAGTAATATTGTCAATGAAGCAACGAGAGTCACGAGTAGATCGAGCACGCTTATTGACCCAATTCTGGTTAGCTCAGACATCAAGGTGCTTCACTCTGGAATTGTTCATGTTGATAATTTTATAAGTGACCATAAAGGAACATATGTTTTTGTTAAATCAGATGTTATTCAAAATCAATCATATGAAAGAAAGGTTTGGTTATATAAGCACGCAGATATGGATAAATTGAATTCTCTCATTGAAAATACTGATTGGAATACGCTTATAATTGAGGCACCTGATATAGATCAAGCAACGAAAAATTTTACATCAACATTTTTGAATAAAGTAAAGGAATGTATTCCTGAAAAATCGGTTGTAATTCGTCCGAAAGATAAACCTTGGTTTGATTCGGCTCTGCGTAAAACACATAGAAACAAGAATAGATTATTTAGTAGGGCCCAAAGGACAAAAAGAAATTCTGACTGGGAAAAATATAAGAAATGCAGGAATAAGTTTAACAATATGAAAAAAATCGCCATTGAAAACTATCATAATAACATAGAGCATCATATTACAGACGCAAGTAAAAATAATTCCAAACTTTACTGGAAGTTACTGAGAGATATATTTAAAGTAAAATCTACTACCGATATTCCTCCTCTACAGTATACCTCTGTTAATGGTGATGCATGTGTGGCTTTTACTAATGAAGAGAAAATAGATGTTTTAAATGATTATTTTGCTTCTATCACTTGTATTGACGAAAACGACGCCATTTTACCTAATTTCTATTCTGTGTGCAATAACCCATTTGATACAGTCTGTATTGATGAACAAGAGATTATAGATATTATTTCAATTATTCCTGTTAACAAAGCAATAGGTCCAGATAATATTAGTCACAAGATGTTGAAATCCACCATGTATACTATTGTAAAACCATTATGTTTATTGTTTAATAGGTCATTAGTTGATTGTATTTTTCCCTGCAAATGGAAAGTTGCCAATGTTCTCCCTTTATTTAAAAAAGATGATCCATCTGTTATGTCTAATTATAGACCTGTGTCATTGTTAAGTTGTATAGGTAAAATAATGGAACGAATCATATTCAAACACTTGTATAATCACTTTCGTGACAACAATCTTTTTTATAAATACCAGGCTGGATTTTTACCAGGTCATTCCACTGTATATCAACTAATAGAAACATATGATACTATTGTTAAATCCATCGATGATGGTGAAAATTGTTGTATGATATTCTGTGATCTGTCTAAAGCATTTGATCGTGTGTGGCACAAGGGTCTCTTGTTCAAACTTAGAACTTATGGTATAGAGGGAAATATGTTTCATTGGTTAAAGAGTTACATAGAGGGTAGATCACAAAGAGTTTTATACAGAAACTTGCTATCTGACGAAAAACCTATACACGCCGGTGTCCCTCAAGGCTCAGTGTTAGGACCTCTATTATTTCTTATATATGTTAATGATGTTGCTGAAGAAATGACAAGTTTTTGTAGATTATTTGCAGACGATAACTTCCTACAACAGTCATCTAAAAATGTTAATACTATTGAAAACAAACTGAATTCTGATCTTAATAAGCTAGAAATCTGGTCGAAAAAATGGCTTCTTAAATTCAATCCTACTAAAACTAAAGCAATGTTTTTTAGCCTGAAAAAAAGTGTTAATTATCCTAAACTTTTCTTCCAGCAAAGTCAGCTAGAATTTGTTTCTTTTCATATCAGTGTTTTCAATAAGATTTTCTATAGAAGGAAAAATAGATGGAATAGCAGGAAACCAGTCTCGGCGAGGGGTCTGGGGGCCGCCTTAGGCCCCCAGCGGGTCCAGGGCAGAGCCCTGGTAGGGGGCCCAGGGGGGCGAAGCCCCCCGGCGGAAAACGAAAATCAGCATTTTTGACTCATTTTCTTACCTCTCAGGCTATTAAAAAAGTACCATTTTTTCACATTCCTCTCACTATCAATTATCAAATTTTACCTTAAAAAGCCAATTAGAAAACATTTTTTACCTTTTCACAGGATTGTTTTGCAGTTTTTGACAGACTGAGTTTTTTTTTTCTTCTGAAAACTAAGTGTCTATACAAACATACATGTATAGACAACTTAAGTATGAAATTCTAGTACAGACAATTGTCTGTGGTAAAATATTATACTGAAAATTCTACATATTTGTCCCTTTTACATAAATTAGTCAGGTCTTTTATTCAAAATTCAAAAAAAAATTATTTAGTTAAAAATGTAATTTTTTTCAACACTTGGTGATGTATAGTACCCTCCAAAAATTGAAATATTCTGCAATCTTAGACGTTTCATAAATTAATTTTAAAACTTATTTACTTTGGCATTTTCATTTGGTACAGATTGTCAGAACAAAATAATTAAGAAAATGGAATTTGATACAAAATACTAGTACATTAAAACCTTCCCAAATGTGAAAATGATTCTGTTCCTGTATTTCAAGATATCTTTACACGAATAAATGAGAATAAAATTTTACTTTTTCAGTTTGAGGAAATTCTGTAAGAATTTCTACATGTACGTCTGAGTCACGATCAAAATAATAAGACTTTTATTCGTAATTATTACGTCTTAGCTTAACACTTGAGATTTTCAGTTTGAGGAAATTCTGTAAGAATTCAACATTTTTCGTAAGGTCTTAAAATTATATTTATTTGCTGTTTTTTTTCACCGGGGAACCCCTCACTCGATATTAAGGCTGCCGCACAATCAAAATTCTTTTTCGAAGGGACCATTCTTTATGCCTCTTAATGTATGTGATCTCAAACGCATGTGTTACAGCAGCAGCAGCACGTTTCTCCACGACTTCGCTCAAATATTCGTTGTCCGCGCCGCCATTGCATGACACGATCGATCTAATCAAACTTCCTTGAAAAAAGAGCGCACTCAAGGGAAGCTACTCTAAATCATGGAAATAGTTGCGATAAAATCTATGGATTTCACGTATCAGCCCCGGCAAAATCTTAATGACGGAAATTTCATAGCCGGCAAAATTTCTCGTACAGGCGGTTAATTTTGCCGGTTGCCGGCTCTTATTGAAAACACTGGTCTAAAGCATTTGATCGTGTGTGGCACAAGGGTCTCTTGTTCAAACTTAGAACTTATGGTATAGAGGGAAATATGTTTCATTGGTTAAAGAGTTACATAGAGGGTAGATCACAAAGAGTTTTATACAGAAACTTGCTATCTGACGAAAAACCTATACACGCCGGTGTCCCTCAAGGCTCAGTGTTAGGACCTCTATTATTTCTTATATATGTTAATGATGTTGCTGAAGAAATGACAAGTTTTTGTAGATTATTTGCAGACGATAACTTCCTACAACAGTCATCTAAAAATGTTAATACTATTGAAAACAAACTGAATTCTGATCTTAATAAGCTAGAAATCTGGTCGAAAAAATGGCTTCTTAAATTCAATCCTACTAAAACTAAAGCAATGTTTTTTAGCCTGAAAAAAAGTGTTAATTATCCTAAACTTTTCTTCCAGCAAAGTCAGCTAGAATTTGTTTCTTTTCATAAACATTTAGGAATTTTTTTCTCGCAAGATCTTAGTTGGTCTACACATATTGATACTATTCTAGCAAATGCATACAAAAAATTGGGCTTGTTAAAAAAACTTAAATTTGTTGTCAACCGAAAAACTCTTTCACTCATGTACACAACCTTTATCAGACCACAGTTAGAATACGCTTCCTTGGTGTGGGGTGGATGTAATATAGGTGACAGCGAAAAATTAGAAAAATTACAATTATGTGCTGCTAGAATTGTCACAGGATTAACTCTGTTAGCTTCTAAAGATGCACTTTACATTGAAACTGGATGGGAACCATTACATGAAAGAAGGAAAAAGACCAGACTAACTACAATGTATAAAATTGATAAAAACCAAGTTCCTGAATATCTCACTGATATAATCCCTAACTTACGATGTAATTCATCAAGTTACAGTACGAGAAACTCGCAGAACTATAACATACCCAAATGCAGATTGCAAGCTTACAAATCAACTTTCGTTCCCCTTGTTATTGAAGAATGGAACTCATTACCTCTTAATGTAAGAAATTCTCCCTCGTTATCTATTTTCAAAAAGTCTATTTCTTTCAAGAAACAAATGCCACCCTCTTACTTCAGTTATGGAAATCGACGCTTAAATATAATACACACGAGGCTTAGACATAACTGTGTGCTTAATAGCGATCTTTTTCGATGTAATGTAATCTTGAGTCCACTATGTTCTTGTGGAAGAGTGGAGGATTCTCATCATTATTTTTTCTCATGCAAAAAATATACAGAAGCCAGGAAAGAATTTTTTGACAAATTTTTGCGAATGGGTAAATTACATACTCACCCATTCTCAATATAAGGGCGCAAATAATGTCGCCTCGTTTTCATTTAGAAGAAATACCACTGATGTAATTTTTAAATCAACATTATAAATAGTCATATAACAATGAATAAGAATTCATATAATTATCGATCTGAAAGGGTATTTAAGGAGTTCAAAATTCAAATATAGTAGCCTATTTGAAATGTACGTTACTGTCGCCGAGGCAAATATTATGCTGAATCCCCTCTGTGTAATATATAGTTTTGATTCTCAAGTAAAAATTTTCTGATAAGTTAAACCTTGTATCATATATACTTCTTTTCATAACAATAAATACATTTTCTTTGTGATAATAAATAATTTTTATTGTGCAATGTCCCTGTCGCTTAATTCTATTTTAACCACATTACAAGCAAACACAAAGATTATACACCTGATAGTTTTGTTCTCCTTTATTAATTGATGGGCGAAATTTGAAATTTCAAAGGGTTAATTACTCCTACATAGATAATATAACATGAAATTGAACAATTTGAGAAACTTTTATAAATATGTTTACGGAATGAAAGACATTTCCAATCGTAGAGATAAGAAAGAAATGTACGTTACCTATATTCTTCCATTAAGAATATATATTAAGTAGAAAATATGAGACGACTCTGAATAAGCAACCCCTTGTATCCTGTAAACTGGCAAAGACGTTTTGCTTAACACAATTAAAAATTATTTTTTACATGAAAAGTGATCATTTGAAATGTACGTGACTGAAATGTACGTTACCATGAAATTCGAATTAAGTGAATCTCGCACGAATTTTCGTGTATTCTCATACTTTCACACACTCGAATGTGTACACAAAGTAAAGTTTCAAAGGTTGGAGGTCGGCTAAATCCCAAAATTAATGAAAAGAAACGTTTCTGCTGAGGAAAAAAAATATATTAAGGTCAATTATATGTAATATAATTTTGATACCTGGTATATATTTCTGAATACGAAACCTGTATGATGCATTTCTTATGATATGCAAGTTCAAATAGTATCAATATATTGCGTGTCTAACGTACGCTTGTGGAAGAGAATTGATTTTTATATTTGAAATGTACGTTACGAATGGTAACGTACATTTTGCGCATTTCTAACTGACATTTTTTTATTATTTAGTCAATTAATTGCGTTTACACGAGTGAAACAAAATTATCGTTACAATCCATTTGACAAATGACCACATAAATCCATCTAAATGCACCCCAATCCTCGTAAATGTAGTGGACTGTTACCACTTGCTAGAAAATTTATTTCTATGTGTCTTAAATTCATCTTTAGCAACCTTTTTGCAGTTTGTTTACTTTTAATATGCGACTTTTCGTCAATATAAATTTAATTGTTGTTGGTAATTTAAAACAAGGTATTCACAGGCTTATAATTGGTAAAAAAAAAAAAACCCAAAACGAAGCAAAAAGAAAAAAGGAAAAAGAAACAAAACAAATGAATCCAGAACACAAGACGGTCACGTACATTTCAAATACTGAAAGGCACACAATACACAGTTTTGTTTGAATCATTGCATTTTAGGTTATATTTTTCCAGATCTGCTGAAAATTACGTATGTTTGTGTTTTGACAAACGATGTTGCAACATTCTATTAAAATGAAATTGTTAACAAGACTGTCGATGGATATATTCGGAATAGATTTATGTTAAGTTTCAATGGCCAAACACAAGCATTTGTTAGATCATAGCAAAATACGTCTGACTCTTTTTTTTTGTATGTACCCTTGCACTCAGGTAGAATTAACTAGGCTACGACCGGTGTCAATTTCAGCGAAACAGCACAAAAGAATGGTAATGAACTGAGATGGAGGGGACTCCCCAATAATATGTGAAATGAACGTTACCGAAGTGACGTGACATTCATGTAGTTGATGACAAATAACCACGTTTGTTACCATATTATTTCTTATATTACTGCGTTAAAACGCTTCATTGAAATGATTTTTATGTCAATAATTGTTTTTTTCCCAATATTTTCTTATTACTAATTTACGTACATTACAAGCTTGAAATGTACGTTACCTACTCATATTCTGAGGCAATCGTGTCTTTGTAGTGATGATTGTGAAATATAACCCAATGTGTTACATAGAGAATCTTTTTTGGAATAAACTGAAACAAAACTATGAATTTTTAGATGAATTTTAAGCTTTTTATTTAGCAGAAATATATCTTGAAATGTACGTTACATTTACGTAGTTGTCTAAATCGGCATGGATATATGTTAAAATAGACAGTAACTACAAAATATAATTTTACTACATGTACATGTTAAGTTCCACTATCTATAGAAAAGGACAAGATTCTAAACTGATCGCTCTAAACAAAACAGAGAGAAGAATTTAAAGCATATATTTCAAAAAATGTTTTTATACATCTGGGTCAAAAAGTAACCTTTGTTTTTTGAAAGGAAAAATCAAGCGCACGTTCGTATGCCGAGAAAATATGTTGCTGACAGAGTTGGTAGGATGTGCTGGTGTTAAGATGAGATATTCCAATTGTGATTTTAATGACTACATTTTTTTTTACATATCTTTTTGTACATTGAAGAAAGAGTAACGTACATTTCAAGCTACATTTCTGAATAAAATCACCCTCTACTTTACCGTCTTGTCATTATTCCATGTATTAAAATTTGATGAAAAAAAACCTGGAAACAAAATCTTCAGATACTTTCTTTCAAAGGTAATTGATAGAAAAATTGTTATCTTGAACTTCATTTTTTAAAAAATCAGAGAGGCATTTGTGCCCTTATATTGAGAATGGGTGACTGTCGATACTTACACCTTACTCTGGGGAGACAAATCGTTAAATGATTTTGAAAATGAATACCTATTCTCTATTGTACAAACTTTCATAAAAAAGTCAGGACGATTTGGTTGATATAATAATTATTTCTAACTGTAAATCTTATACAGCATGTCTATTACATATGAAATGTATTCTATTGAATGTGTTTTACTCTGATTATTATACATTATTATTATAATATTATTATTATTGTTATTTGATATTAAGCTGAAACCCATGTATGTAAATATGTTTTGGTATAATTTATATGTAGGGAACGGGCGTAATAAGTTTTTAGAACTTTTGCCCAATCCCATTTGTATAGTATAATCAATAAAATATGTTCAAATCAAAAAAAATGTGCAAAACAGGTAGCACACATACAAAAATTCATTGTTTACAGAATGGACAGTTACAGGTTAGCTTGGGGTGCACAGCGATTTGTTGAATGGCCATTGTGTTTCCAGATGCAAATATCAAAAGGTCTTTGTCTAAAGAATGGACGGTTATGT